TAGCAGGCATGCATGGAGTGTAGCAGGCATGCATGGAGTGTAGCAGGCATGCATGGAGTGTAGCAGGCATGCATGGAGTGTAGCAGGCATGCATGGAGTGTAGCAGGCATGCATGGAGTGTAGCAGGCATGCATGGAGTGTAGCAGGCATGCATGGAGTGTAGCAGGCATGCATGGAGTGTAGCAGGCATGCATGGAGTGTTAGCAGGCATGCATGGAGTGTAGCAGGCATGCATGGAGTGTAGCAGGCATGCATGGAGTGTAGCAGGCATGCATGGAGTGTAGCAGTCATGCATGGAGTGTAGCAGGCATGCAGGGAGTGTAGCAGGCATGCATGGAGTGTAGCAGGCATGCATGGAGTGTAGCAGGCATGCATGGAGTGTAGCAGGCATGCATGGAGTGTAGCAGGCATGCTGGGAGTGTAGCAGGCATGCTGGGAGTGTAGCAGGCATGCTGGGAGTGTAGCAGGCATGCTGGGAGTGTAGCAGGCATGCTGGGAGTGTAGCAGGCATGCTGGGAGTGTAGCAGGCATGCTGGGAGTGTAGCAGGCATGCAGGGAGTGTAGCAGGCATGCAGGGAGTGTAGCAGGCATTCAGGGAGTGTAGCAGGCATGCAGGGAGTGTAGCAGGCATGCAGGGAGTGTACCAGGCATGCAGGGAGTGTAGCAAACATACAGGGAGTGTAGCAGGCATGTAGGAGGCGAGAGGAAGGCGAGTTTATTATGCTTCAATATGACGCTTATTTATCTATCACAGTTCATCTAATATGACATAATAAACAATATTAATAACATAGAAACATGATATATACTCTAGAATGAATAAAATATGTCATAATTTATGTGAGAAGAAAGTGGTGGAAGTGTTGTTGTTGGGTTTATAATGGTCACTGAGAGAAGCCGTACATATTAGTGGTGGAGGAGGCTTCTGCCACCACCTGTATCCACAGTATATGTACGTAATTTATAAATAAGAAGCATTTACATTTTAATTTATAAATAAATATTTACAGGATCATGACAGAAATGTTAAAAGCAGGGAGGAATATAGTGTTGAAGTGGTTGGTATTTTTGTTTAATAAATGTATGAAAGAGGGGAAGGTACCTAGGGATTGGCAGAGAGCATGTATAGTCCCTTTATATAAAGGGAAAGGGGACAAAAGAGATTACCTAGGGATTGGCAGAGAGCATGTATAGTCCCTTTATATAAAGGGAAAGGGGACAAAAGAGATTGTAAAAAATTATAGAGGAATAAGTTTACTGAGTATACTAGGAAAAGTGTATGGTAGGGTTATTATTGAAAGAATTAGAGGTAAGACAGACTGTAGAATTGTGGATGAGCAAGTAGGTTTTAGAGTGGGTAGGTGATGTGTAGATAAAGTGTTTACATTGAAGCATATATGTGAACAGTATTTAGGTAAAGGTAGGGAAGTTTTTATTGCATTTATGGATTTAGAAAAGGCATATGATAGTGAATAGGGGAGCAATGTGGCAGATGTTGCAAGTATATGGAATAGGTGGTAAGTTACTAAATGCTGTAAAGAGTTTTTATGAGGATAGTGAGGCTCAGGTTAGGGTGTGTAGAATAGAGGGAGACTACTTCCTGGTAAAAGTAGGTCTTAGACAGGGATGTGTAATGTCACCATGGTTGTTTAATATATTTATAGATGGGGTTGTAAAAGAAGTAAATGCTAGGGTGTTTGGGAGAGGGGTGGGATTAAATTATGGGGAATTAAATACAAAATGGGAAGTGACAGTTACTTTTTGCTGATGATACTGTGCTTATGGGAGATTCTAAAGAAAAATTGCAAAGGTTGGTGGACAAATTTGGGAGTGTGTGTAAAGGTAGAAAGTTGAAAGTGAACATAGAAAAGAGTAAGGTGACGAGGGTATCAAATGATTTAGATAAAGAAAAATTGAATATCAAATTGGGGAGGAGGAATATGGAAGAAGTGAATGTTTTCAGATATTTGGGAGTTGATGTGTCAGCGGATGGATTTATGAAGGAAGAGGTTAATCATAGAATTGATGAAGGAAAAAAGGTGAGTGGTGCATTGAGGTATATGTGGAGGCAAAAAATGTTATCTATGGAGGCAGAGAAGAGAATGTATGAAAGTATAGTAGTACCAACACTCTTATATGGGTGTGAAGCTTGGGTTGTAAATGCTGCAGCGAGGTGGTGGTTGGAGGCAGTGGAGATGTCCTGTCTAAGGGCAATGTGTGGTGCAAATATTATGCAGAAAATTCGGAGTGTGGAAATTAGGAGATGGTGTGGAGTTAATAAAAGTATTAGTCTTAGGGCTGAAGAGGGTTTGTTGAGGTGGTTTGGTCATTTAGAGAGAATGGATCAAAGTAGAATGACATGGAGAGCATATAAAACTGTAGGGGAAGGAAGGCGAGGTATATGTTGTCCTCGAAAAGGTTGGAGGGAGGGGGTAAAGGAGGTGTTGTGGGCGAGGGGCTTGGACTTCCAGCAAGCGTGCGTGAGCGTGTTAGGAGTGAATGGAGACGAATGGTATTTGTGACCTGACAAGCTGTTGGAGTGTGAGGAGGGTAATAGTATTTAGTGAAGGGATTCAAGGAAACCAGTTATTTTATATAACCGGACTTGAGTCCTGGAAATGGGAAGTACAGTGCTTGCACTCTAAAGGAGGGGTTTGGGATATTGGCAGTTTGGAGGGATATACTGTGTATTTTTATACATATATACATGTACTTCTAAACTTGTATTCTGGGCACCTCTGCGAAAACAGTGATAATGTATGAGTGAGGTGAAAGTGTTGAATGATGATGAAAGTATTTTCTTTTTGGGGATTTTCTTTCTTTATGGGTCACACTGCCTCGGTGGGAGACGGCCAACTTGTTGAAAAAAAAAATTACATTTTAATTTATAAATGAGTAAGTAAGTTTAATCAGGTATACACAAATACAGTTATGTACATAGATTATCATACGTAGCAGCATATGTGTAAAGTATCTAGGATAACCCAAAAAAGTCAGAGTGATTTATTTCCATTGGGGTCCTTTTATATTTACACATATTTACTTTAATACTTACACTTTTATATTTACACTTATCTTGGAGGAGATGTTAGTTTAATTAGTTTGATGGAGGAGATGCTGGCAGAGGTTCAGGGTGTTGGAAGATACGTAGCAGGCTGGCGTATGTTCATTGGCCCGATACACATCCAACATCATTGAAGAGTTACTTTCGTGTCGCTTTTCTGTCACTTACTCGCTTAACTTACTTGCTGCACTGTTAATTCTATAGTTTATCACTGGCTGGCACTAGAGCCTTTATCGATACCTGCTGCTTTAGCATCGTACATATCGTAGAATCACTGAATCACTGCAGAAGACACATTCTCCCCTCTCTCTTCCTCCTCCCCTTTGGTACTTTGCTACGAGATTTTTCTTGAATTCTATTGTTTCTTTCCTTCTTTATCACAGGGCTGGCACTAGAAACTTTCTTTGGGACCATGGTGGCTTATTTAGCAGTTACAAGCCCTAAAAACAATGGAATAATACAAAATATCTTGCATGTAAGCGTGGAATCATGCCCTCCCTGGCTTGTAAACAATGGCACGCTGGCTGTGCATGGGTTCAGGCCGGGCAGACACGTTCGGGACAAATGTCCTTAACTGAGTTTTTCATCATTAGCCAAGCCAATATTTTGATGCAAAAATGCATCGGTATCCAATTTTATCGCTGTCTGATAGCATCGTTAACTGAGGGTCCACTGTATTATATATTTTTTATTAACATATTGGCTGTTTCCCACCAAGGCAGGATGACATGAAAAAGAAGCAACACTTCTTCACCATTCACTCCATCACTGTCTTGCCAGAGGTGTGCCTACATTACAATTAAAAAATTGCAACATATCTCCACCCCTCTTTCAGAGTGCAGGCACTGTACTTCACACCTCCTGGACTTAGGTCTAGCTAACCAGTTTTCCTGAAATCCCTCATAAATGTTACTTTGCTCACACTCCAACAGCACATCAAGTCATAAAAACCATTTTCCTCCTCTCGCTCCTATCTAACAAGCTCTCATACGCTTGCTGGAAATCCAAGCCCCTTGCACACAAAACCCTCCTCTTTCCCCTTAACCTTTCCTAGGATGACCCTCATCCCACCTTCTTTCAACTACAGATTTATATGCCCTCCAAATCATTATATTTTGTTCCATCCTCTCTAAATGTCCAAACCACTTCGACAACCCTTCTTCTGCCCTCTGGCTTATACTTTTAGAAACCCTGCACCTCCTCCTAATCTCCAAGCTAGGGCTTCTATGTTATATTCACACTGCACATTGTCCTCAGACACAACATCTCTCCTACTTCCAGCCTTCTCTTTGTTGCAACATTCACCACCCATGCTTCACACCCATATAAGAGTGTTGGTACCACTATACTCTCATAAATTCCCCTCTTTGCTCCCATGGATAACATTCTTTGTCTCCACAGACTCCTCAGTGCTCCAGTCATCTTTTTCTCTCGTCAGTTCTGTTTGACCTCGTCTTTCATAGATCCATCTGCTGACAAGTCCACTCCCAAATATCTGAATACATTCACTTCCTACATACTCCCTCCTTCCAGTCTGATATCCAGTCTTTCATTACCTAAATTTTTGTTACCCTCATGACCTTGCTCTTTCCATTGTTCACTTTTAATTTTCTTCTTTTAGATACCTACCCAGATTCGTCCACCAACCTCTGCAACTTCTTTTCAGAATCTCCCAAAAGCACAGTGTCATCAGTAAAAAGCAACTTTGTGTTAGATTATTTATCTTCCAGTCCTATACCTCTCCCTGTCTATAAATATATTGAACAACCATGGTGACATCATGCATCCCTATCTAAGACCTACTTTAACTAGAAAATAATCTCCCTCCTACATACCTTAACCTGAGAGAATTGTAGAAATGTCTCAATTAATGACCTCTATTATAATCAATATTTTTTGACTAAATAGGCTTAAATTATGCTTTCTTTCATTTCAGGAAAGAGGTGTGCATATTCCGCTGGCTGGAGAAGCACCAGAACCACCTTGAACCTTGTACTACATGTGATGTATAAATTGTAATTGTTCCAAGTGAATTACAGTGTTGTTTATTGTGCGTCCAAACACTTGTCTAATTAGTCCCAGTGGTGACTTGCTATTCCCGAGGCCAATTTTTGAGTGTCAGTTGATTGACACATTGTCAACATAAAAGTAACTGTTACAGAACTGTGGTAGTATCAGAAATGTGAACCAAAGAAGGTGTGGGGAACAAAGTAAATTTGTCCAGGCACAAATATGATGGTCAGAAATTAGAGTTATATTAGTAAAAATTAAGGACCACTTCAAGTGGTAAAAAAAAAAAATTCAGCATGAAAGTTAGTGTAGTTAAAACTGTGATGATAATAAGACTTGAAAGGAATCAGTGTTGCATGGTATTCCAGGAACTGAAATCTCTTGGTAAATTAAGTGTTGCAAGATTGTCCAGAAACTGAATTCTGCACATACCTGTTCACCCTTTCTTTTATCTATTAACTTTCGTTGAAAATTTGAACCACATTGTAAATTCTTATACACATTAGCATTTCTCTGTAATTAATTAATTATATTGTTGTAAATTATTGTAAACACTAATATTTTAGTGTAAGTTATTTTTATGCACAAATGCTTATGTTAATTTTAAACAGATAAATTGTTATGAGGCAGGGGATTTGAAGGTAAAGGGAGGGGCTTCAGTCTCTCGTTAGTAACTTCATTTTGGCTTTTTGGAAGAGACATGGATTTTATATTGCTAATTTAAACGGCTATTTTTATTGCAGTATGACTCAGAAATCTTAAATGGTCTGGACTTGAGCCTCTGTATTTTTCTGGATTTAGGAAAGTTGGAATTGGAGCTAAAAAAAAAATGACAGTAATGTAAACAAAAAATTCCTTCCTACATAACATGTAAATATTATATAGGACTTAACAAAATCATGCTGTGCTCCTTGCTTACAGGTGACTGCTGTAGAACAATGGTTCACTAAGCCCAGGCTCTTCAACTAAACCACTAAAATATTGTGGCAAGTTATCAGCTGACTGTGCATCAGTAGATTTTCTCATCACTCCTAGGAGGTCACCTGATGCTATAGCCAACCATGTGAGAAGTTACAGGGCTCATTATTGTCCATTTTCTCAAGAAAAAAAAAAAACTTTTTGCATATTGTGCTACTTTAATGCTTGCCTTCCTCTGAACCAGTCAAATAAACCTCTTCCAATTAAAATTACTCCTAGAATAGAACTCAAATAATTTACCTTTCAGGGGCATTATAATGTACAGTTGATGCATCAGTATTGAATTCTTTCATAATTTTATTACCTAAATGACCTTTTCTCCTCTCTGCATATGCTACATCACCACCACTTTTTACCCAGTTTTAATAACAGTTCTTCCTTTTCATATCTGAGGTTCCATTATCCTGTCCAAAATCCATTCCAAGATTATAATGTAAAAAAAAAAAAAAAAAAAAAAAAAAATGTGCAAATGCCAAAAGAGCAGATGTGTTAAACATGAGCTATACACAAGAACTAGCCTTGATTATTGCAGATACTTGGCATCATATATTATTTCTTTTATCAAAAATGGGCAATTCCAATTTCTTTTGTTAAGGTTTTAGGATTTTTGGAGTTATGCTGTAATATAGTGTTTAAAGCTGAGGGCCAAGCAGTGTATGGTGGTTCATTTTTATTGTGCAGGAGGGGAATCAGAGGACCTTTTTTGTGGTGAGATACCCTCCTTCATGAGGGAAAGATACCCTCCTCCATGAGGGAAAGATACCCTCATTCATAAGGGGAAGATTCCCTCCTTCATGAGGGAAAGATACCCTCCTTCATGAGGGAAAGATACCCTCCTTCATGAGGGAAAGATACCCTCTCCATTATAGGGGGGAGAGGTGTTCTCTCACGGTGGAGATATCCTCTCCTTTATGGAGGTATATCATCTTCATGGGGTGAAATATATTCTCTCATTCATGGTGGAGATACCTTTTCATTCGTGGTGGAGATGCCCTCTAATTCATAGTTCAGATGCCCTCTCATTCATGGTGGAGGTGCCCTCTCAATCATAGAGATGCTTTCTCATACACTATGGTGGAGGTGCCCTCTCATTCATGGTAGTGGTGCCCTTTCATTCATGGTAGAGATGCCCTTTCATTCATGGTAGAGGTGCCCTCTCATTCATGGTAGAGGTGCCCTCTCATTCATGGTAGAGGTGCCCTCTCATTCATGGTAGAGGTGCCCTCTCATTCATGGTAGAGGTGCCCTCTCATTCATGGTAGAGGTGCCCCCTCATTCATGGTAGAGGTGCCCCCTCATTCATGGTAGAGGTGCCCTCTCGTTCATGGTAGAGGTGCCCTCTTCTTCATGGTGGAGGTGCCCTCTCATTCGTGGCGGAGATTCCCCTCTCATTCGTGGCGGAGACGCCCCTCTCATTCGTGGCGGAGACGCCCCTCTCATTCGTGGCGGAGACGCCCCTCTCATTCGTGGCGGAGACGCCCCTCTCATTCGTGGCGGAGACGCCCCTCTCATTCGTGGCGGAGACGCCCCTCTCATTCGTGGCGGAGACGCCCCTCTCATTCGTGGCGGAGACGCCCCTCATTCGTGGCGGAGACGCCCCTCTCATTCGTGGCATAGACGCCCCTCTCATTCGTGGCGGAGACGCCCCTCTCATTCGTGGCGGAGACGCCCCTCTCATTCGTGGCGGAGACGCCCCTCTCGTTCGTGGCGGAGACGCCCCTCTCGTTCGTGGCGGAGACGCCCCTCTCGTTCGTGGCGGAGATGCCCCTCTCGTTCGTGGCGGAGACGCCCCTCTCGTTCGTGGCGGAGACGCCCCTCTCGTTCGTGGCGGAGACGCCCCTCTCGTTCGTGGCGGAGACGCCCCTCTCGTTCGTGGCGGAGACGCCCCTCTCGTTCGTGGCGGAGACGCCCCTCTCGTTCGTGGCGGAGACGCCCCTCTCGTTCGTGGCGGGGACGCCCCTCTCGTTTGTGGCGGAGACGCCCCTCTCGTTCGTGGCGGAGACGCCCCTCTCGTTCGTGGCGGAGACGCCCCTCTCATTCGTGGCGGAGACGCCCCTCTCATTCGTGGCGGAGACGCCCCTCATTCGTGGCGGAGACGCCCCTCTCATTCGTGGCGGAGACGCCCCTCTCATTCGTGGCAGAGACGCCCCTCTCATTCGTGGCGGAGACGCCCCTCTCATTCGTGGCGGAGACGCCCCTCTCATTCGTGGCGGAGACGCCCCTCTCATTCGTGGCGGAGACGCCCCTCTCATTCGTGGCGGAGACGCCCCTCTCATTCGTGGCGGAGACTCCCCTCTCATTCGTGGCGGAGACGCCCCTCTCATTCGTGGCGGAGACGCCCCTCTCATACATGGAGCAAGATGCCTTCTCCTTCCTAAGGAGAGTACTCTGCCTTTTATGGGGCAGGAGTACAGTCTGCATCATCAGTCATGCTTGTCCTCACCATAAACCTCTGCTTCATCATCCTCTCTCATTCCTATTTGCTCTGTCTTTCATGTTATATAATTTAAATGAAAATTTTTGTTTATAATAATTTACTTGCTAGTCCACACACACACACACAATCATATACACTCACACTGTATTATAAGCATCCATTTCCTAAATATATTTAACATGATTCAGGATGTAACAAGTAATTGTTTCTGTGACTGCACTGAGCTCTAGTGAGCACAGGTAAAGCACTACGTTATGTTTTGACTCTTTCGGCATGTAGCTGATATGAGCATTTAACCTTTATTGTTATATTTGGAAAACTGTAGCTGACTTTAATAGGTCCTAAATAACAAAGTGGGCAATTGCAAGTAACTACCACATAGTTTACTCAAGCATTATCTTAGTAATTCCATTTAGTGTGCCTCTGCTGTCTAGAAATAGTCAAATGGTATTTTATTTGACTAATTTTGTCATGTCACCTTAGGGTGTACATCATAAGACAGTTGTGGTACAATATATTGAATACATTGTTTCATGAAATGTAAGCGTGCTTCATGCTCTTTTGAATGTTCTTTGATTGGCTTGTGATCAAAGTGCTAAGATTTGGTCGTGTGTAACACACGTCCTTTCTGTGAGGGTTGTCAGCCATCTCCTGTTTGGCTTGGCTCTAGCTTCCATATGATAGTTTTATAAAGCCAAGAAGAGGCTTCGATCTTTTTCCTAGTATTTTTAAATTGTAAAATGTACATTGTTACAATGCTAAGTTTTTTAATCGATGTATAGGGGATAAGCTTGTGGTTGTAAAAAAGGCTTTTCTTTGGGTAATGTCTTTTATTAAATACAGTACTTCATGTAGTGTCTTAAAATGTAACAAAAATTTGTGGAAAAAATAATTCATTCTTTTTTTGGTGTCTCATGTTTATTGAATGATAGATATGGTAATTTATGGGCTTAAAATTTTGTCAGTGATGTTGGTTCTTAAATATTACCATATGTAAGTTGAAAGGTGCAGTTGAGAATGTTAGCTTACTCTGCACAGCCATTGGTTGTCTGTGGTGGTACACTTATTGTGTTAGTATGTTTATATTGAGAATGGTTTTGTTGTCTTAGCTAGTACCCTCATGGTCAGATTTATGTCATCAGCTTGACTTGCAATATACTTTGTGAAATTTATGAGTCTGAAATTCAAGAACATAGATTGTTTTTAGAGTACTAATGGGCTGGAGATGTGCATATTGTAAGATGATTAGGTAATAATTAATATGGCAAGTACTCTAGAAGAAAACTGCACTATAAAATGTTCAGGTTAATGTAATTCTGAATTGAAATTGTTTTTATTTTTTTAATCATTGCTTTAATATATCTAATTATGTAACTTCTTATTATTTGTGTCTGAATTGAGTAAATTCCTTTTTAAACTATCTATCACTTGGTGGTTATGATGGAGATAGTCAAGAGAAGTAGGTAAGGGAACACAAGATTCATTAATATCTTGACTATATTAAAAGCATCATATTATGGAATTAGCAGTTGAAGTGGTAAGAAAATACTTAACTCCCAGTACTCAACATTTACACAGATCTTATATTCAGTGCATTAATTCCTAAATCTGAACATTTCCAGTTTTATTTCTTTGTCTGTCCTAGTCTGTTTATGCTTTAGACATTATCAGTCATGCAGCAGGAAGACTATGATAGAAACAGGACATTGGAAATTTGCTATATATTCCTTGAGTCTTCCATATGGGAGTTCACCCTCCACCTCTTTCCTGTCCTTCATATAGCATGAACCTTATCCCAAAATTTTGCTCTATTTGTTTTTCTTTAGTGTAGTTATGGTCTTTTAAGTTAATCATATTATAACTTGCTTAACTTTGGCCTTTACGTCAGTTGCTAATACAAATAACAACACTTAAAGTCTCAGCACTTACATTTCCATTACTGCAGATACCAAAAGTTATTTGATCCCTAGTTTGCAGTGGACTGCTCGACATTAAGAGTGAAGTAGCAATAGCATTCTCATGTGTTCTTGAGTGTTTTAAAAACTCAATATAAGTATAATGTCACTTGCCGTGTTAACTGTGATTGATGCTTCACAAGAAACATTTATGACTGACTGCCAAGGCAATGCAGTTTTAATTAACAGATAAGCCTTGTGATTGTAAGCAGAACAAACTATCATGTTGCATGCAGTCACTAAGTACATGTTGATGGCACAATTATTTCTGTATTGTCAAAGTGTTTCAGTTGATCACCTGATCTTAAAATTCTTAAAATCCCCTAGTGCTTAATGGAAAACTCTGATAGAGATGTAATTTAATAATAATAAAACCCATGGTCAGTAGATTGTTTATCAGTACCAATAGCTTTTTAATAATCAGGTGAGAATGTTTTTCGTGGTAATGTTATATCTTTAATGATGTTTGCATTTTGTTAGCATAGAAATTGCTTATTCTTGCACAGAACATTTAGAACTGGCTTCTTTTGTTAGTAAATATTCAATTGTTGTCTAGCAAAGTAGTGTGGAATATTCTAGAAATTTTGTCTGAGAAAATGAATGCCTTATTATATATAGCGTATGTTTAGCACTGATCACGGAAGTGCATTCACTTTCACACTAAACAGCACCAGTCGCTATCTGAGACATGGTTGACCATCATCATGAATTTTCAAACAGTTTTTGAAGCATTATCTTGATGAAGCTTATCACATAGTTCATACTTGTATTCACAGAATGTGTTTATAATGTGTTACTATTTTACAAGTGATCACTTGCCTTTTGAATGTCTGCTACAGGTCTTGTAGTAAGTCTCAGGAACTGGCAGTTAACCAGGTTTCAGATATGTGGTAATAATTGTGTCCTTTATGCTGTGAATGTGTGTAATGTTCCCAAGAACATAACCCTCCTTCATAAAAGTGTTTTCTTTAAGAGGTCAGGTTAGGTGGGATTTCTGTTTGAAGGGTCTGATAACTACTTACAGAAAGTGGAATGTTGATAGCTGTGTGTTGTGTGTGTGTTGTGTGTGTGTGTGTTGTTTGTGTTGTGTTGTGTTGTGTGAGTGTGTTGTGCGAGTGTGTTGTGCGAGTGTGTTGTGCGTGAGTGTGTTGTGCGTGAGTGTGAGTCATGTCATGTTTGAGTGCATTGTGATGTGAATATCATGCAGAGAACTTGGAC